AGAAATACATGTGAAATGAATGACTGACAAAGCCTACCTCCTGGCCCATATGTGACTGCACAGTGAAGATGAGCCTTGGGAAGGAGTGCCACCCAGAAGGCCCAGGAAGGACATCAGTGAGTAGAGAAGGAGCAGAGTACCATGTTGCGTGACAGAGGTAGAGGAGTGGGGGAGGGGGACAGTGCAGTCTGGGACCCACATTCCAGAGGAAGATGGCACCATGCATGTAAGAGGCAGGGCAGAGCACAGAGAGTGTGAGAGTTGGGGTATCCTGCCACATACGTAATCCCACCCAGCTTAGCTTGTCCTAAGACAAGCTCCTTAATCATCAAGTGACAAGAAAGTTCCCACCTCTTCATGGCAATCCTCCCACAGGGATGAGCAGTTGAGCCCCCTTCTGCTTCCTCCCTGGTTCATCTTCCAGGTCAGGGAGTCACCACAACATGGTCCCCAGCCACCTGCCTACGTGTCACCACAACCAAACCCGACCAATCTTTCCCTGGGAATACAAAACAAACGATGTTCCAAAAGCTTTGGGAACAAGTGGGATTTCTAAAAACCTCAACAACAGCAACGGAACGTCAAACGGCAGGGGGTAAGTGAGCATTTGTTCATCGTCTCTGAAGGGTTGAAATCAGAAACACGAGGAATGACAGGCACCAGTGGAGCTGGGTGGTGACAGCAGGTGCAGCCATTTCAGAACAGCACGAGAAGGCTGGCACTCTGCAGAGGGGAGCCTTGGCACACGCCCTGTAGAAACCTGCACAGCCCACATCATATTACCAAGAACGCTCAGAGTGCCGGGGACCAACAACCGCACGCCAGAAGTCAGAAATGTCAGGCCATGGTGGAAACACAAATTACTATCGGAACACACGGTGGGCATGACCCCCACAAGGGAACTAATTGCTGCGGACAGCTGAGAAGGCAGCGCAGACAGATCTTACAATGCGGAGGGAAGAGCATAGTGCTCTGTTTGAATGTGTGATCACATAGCACTGGAAATGACTCCGTGGTATCAAACAATGAGGAAAGCTGAGCAACTGGAAAGGGGCTCAAGCAAGGCTTGTGCTTCCTGATTGGGATGATTTAAAGGAGCATGTGTGTTGGCTGGCACTCACTGACCTGCCCACTTAAAATGTGTGCACTTTGTGTGTATAAATTCCTCTTCAGAAGAATAAAGCCCACTGTCAATAGGTACAGAATTCCAGCTAGTAGATTTTGCTTTTTACAGTAGAGTGAGCTAGTGCTTCTGAAACTAATTTTTAAAATGCATTTGGATTCAGAAATGAGAGTGACTAGATAAATTAAAGATAATAAGAGCTAGGCTTCTAACTGTTAGGCAAGGGAGGTCCAAACATTGAAAAGAGGACAGCTGTATTGTATTCTGCTACACGGAAGAATGCATAGGAGCAAATGGGCTCACAAAAAAGGGTGTAGGTGGGTGAATGGATGGATGGATGGATTGGTGGGTGGGTGGGTGGGTAGATGGATGAAAGAATGAATGGATAGATAGACAGACAAATAGATAGATAAATAGATAGATAGATAGATAGATAGATAGATAGATAGATAGATAGATAGACAGATAGATAGATAGACAGACAGACAGATGACTATGTCACGTGTACTTATGTACACATAGGTAAACAATTATTTTATGGACATGTGTCTATGGTTCCACAAGCATACATCTTTCCCTCCATCTTTATCCTTTTTCCTTACCAATAAGAAGTAGAGTGTCATTGTTTTGCATCAATGAGGGGCTGGAAATGACAATGGCATAGCAGGCTCAACTGGCTTCCATGTATGGTTCTAAACATTTTCCTTGGAGGGGAAGCTGAATTCAGGGCTGGCTGAGAAGTGGAGTGGTGTCATGTCTGGATATGAGGGACTCATGATGAGGACAAATGTAAGAGATACTTGACTGCTCCATGTGCTTCACAGGTCAAAACTGGAGCCATTTGAGCATTGAGACCAGCGAGAAATGGCGATGGATTAATACTCACAAACAATAGTTCAAAATCACAATACATCAGATTTACAAACAGCAAAAACAAAAGCAGAAGCCACAAGTCTTTCTTTTAAGGAAAAAAAAAGATGGAGAAAGTAGATGGGGGGTGAGGAGAGGGGAGAAAGCTTTTCTTGTACAGAAAAACACTAACCAGTTTCAAGTGTCTCTGGGTCTGATGCCCTGAGAGGACCCAAGGCAGTGTAGAAGGGAGCCACCGTAGGACCCAGCTGAAGCATCACCTTGCCTGAGCAAGGTGACCAGCCTATGCCCCAGTGTGACAGAAGACAAGGCCAGGCTATCAGGGCTCCAGGCAGACGTGAGCAAGGCAACGTGTACAGTCTGTACATCACGTGACTAGGGTAGAGCTAGGTCTGGGAGATAAACTTCTAGAACTGGGCACCTCTGGCACCTGGAAAGCCTAGACTTGGGTGTAGGGTGGATAACAGTGCTGTGTCAACATTTCAGCTCTCGGTTTTGATAAATGCACTGCGATTAGGGGAGAGAATGCCCTCATTCTTAGGAATGATACACGGAAGAAATGGGCAAAGGGACACAATGCCTTCGCCCACAGCCACCCACAGGAGTTGTGACACACTGCATGCAAACATTTATGCATATGGACAAACAGACATAAAGATAGTAGACAGGTGATGGATGGGATAGATGAATGGATGGAAGGATGGATTGGTGGATGAAAACATGGACAGATGGATAGAAAGACATAAAAATTGGATGGACAGACAGATGGTGAATGGATGATAACTGGATGGAAAGACAGATACATAATTGGATGGATGGAAGGAAGGAAAGAAGGAAGAAGGAAATTGGTAGATGGCTTAATGAATATATAAATGAACAATTAGATAATTGTTAGGCAGCTAGAAAATTGGCTAAATGGATGGAGGTATGGATGGATAGATGGATGGACACATGAATGGGTAGACAGATAACTGGATGATGAATGGACAGACAGACATATATACATATGTATGTATGTGTGTATGGAAAATGGGTGAGTGGGTGGATTACAGATGAATAGACAGATAACTGGGTAGATGGATGACTAGATGGACAGATAGATGGATGAACAAGTGGATAGATGAGTGGATAGGTGGACAGATAGATGGATGGGTTGCTAGATGGATGGGTAGATAAACGGCTGGATGAATAAAAAGAAAATAGGGTGCGGATAGAATAAACAAATATTCATAGTATGCCTGGAAAGGTATGAGCATTATCTGAGCTATTTCTGCCACAGTCTCCTAAGTTAGAGCCTTCTCAAGACAAAATATAACAGAGGCTCTAAGCCTGGAGCACTTGCTGAGCCTGTACATTACACCAGTGAGGTGATCTGGGCTGGTGTCCTTGAGATAGTGCTGCCCACCAGCGAGCCTGAAGTACCGGGACTTTCATCCCTCCCTCACCCACGACTCTGGGGAAGGGGCAGTGCTCTGGGTGAAACTCTGAAGTGAGACTTGGCGATTACTGGCTAGAGAACCCACAGATGGGCTGGAGGCCTACACTCCCAGATAGGACACAGAGGTTCCATGCCCTGCCCATCTCTTGTTTTTGGCACCTTCTCCTGGTGGTTCCTAAGTTGAGGCCTGAAGGCTACACTGGTGTACATCAGTACAGAGTCTTCCTAAGAGCAGCTGAGCTTGAAGAGGGCCATAAGAATCCTGACATAGAGATGCAGGTGGAGAGGACTGAGCCAGAGTACAGTCTGAACCCCTAAATGCAAGATCTGATGGACTCTGGGGAGTTGGCATCAAAACTCAGTCAAATGGCAGGTCACACATTTGGCAAACAGAATTGATTGCAGGGTTGAAAAAATGCCTGAGCCCCAAAGACAAAGTGAGGGGGTGTTCCATAAACAGCAACCAGGTACGGTGCTAGGGGTGAGTCAGCCAGGCCTGCCCAGGCAGGTCTAGATAAGAGCACCTTGTCTTCAGCCCCACCTCTGTGTTCAGCTCGCCAAGCTGGCCCCAGTGGCCCTACAGCTAAGAGAACCCGACCTCTCACCACTTTGCCAAGCCTGTTTCCTCCCCTGGCCCAAAGGAAACAAAGACCTTGGCAGTCATTTAAAGGGCTCAGTGAACCTCATTCCATATTCTCTCTGTAGCCCAGCCTCCTAGAAGGAGGGCAACGGGAGGCATCTTTGCAAAGCTGCTGCAAAGGCAGCTGGGATACCTGCCCCACATAACTGGGAAGTGGATTCCTCTGGACTCCCAGAGCCCCAGGGTCTGAGCCACAGATACATATGTATGGGACTCACACTACTAAGGTATGCAGGGCTTTCACGGAGCCCCCAGGGTCCCTGATCTGCCCACTCCTGCGGGAGCGGTGAGCTGAGAGTCAATCATAACAGGTGAGTCTGGCTCCAGAATCCTCCGCAGAATCAACAAGATGAGGCTCTGGCCACCTGTGTGTTTGCCTGGGGCCAATGCTCTTGCCTAATGCTTATTTCCAAAATTACAGAGGATAACAAATGACCTAACAGTGAAACAGAACCCCTTTGTCTTTGTGAGCCTCAGCAAACATGCTCATCTGCTGGGGACCAGCCCGTACGTGGCCTCCCATAGAAGCCTCCAGAACAAAAGGCTCTGCATGCCAGCAGCCTTCACACAGGCATTGTGGGGGCAATGGTCTTCTCTGTGGGCTTAGGACTAGAGCCTGTGGCAGGCACGTGGACCTGAGACCCAGTTAGAAATAAGTCACTCTAGGAATTCAGTTCTTCCAGCCCTGGTGTGACAGAATAGAAACTTCATTCCCAAAGAAGCTAGACTTTGTAAATAGTCATTATTCAGGGGAGAGAAGGAGGTGTTCCCTGAAGGTGGAAAGGCCAAGAGGCAAAGAGGATGGTGCCGGCACCCAGGCAGGTGGGGCTATGACTCAGGCTGGGGAGGAGCCAAGGGGGGCACCTTGCTGAGCAGGCCAGGCAGGAGAGCAAGTTTTATAGCAACAGCCAAGCAGAGGCAGCAGCCAGTGGAACCACGGGCATTATGCTGTGTGCGCTGATTCTCTTGTCTGGGCTCCTGGGGGCCTCCAAGGCCAGCCCCATCTCGGGCCCCCAGGAGTGTGCCAAGGGCTCGGAGGTATGGTGTCAGGACCTGCAGGCAGCTATAAGGTGTCAGGCTGTGAGGTACTGCCAGAGTGCTGTTTGGAATAAGCCCACAGCCAAGTCCTTGCCCTGCAGTCTGTGCCAGGATGTGGCGGCTGCTGCTGGTAACGGGATGAACCCAGACGCTACAGAGTCGGACATTTTGGCATCAGTGATGAAGACCTGTGAGTGGCTTCCAAGCCAGGAGTCTTCGGCAAAGTGCAAGCAGATGGTGGACAACTATAGCCCAGATGTCCTGCGCATGCTCAGTGGAATCCCAGGCACTGCCCTGGCTCCGGTATGCACTGCACTCACTCTCTGTGAGCCACTACAGAGGTACCTAGCCACGACCACTTTGGAGAGTCTGCTGACCCCAGAGGATGCAACTGAGGTGATGGCTCCATTCTTATCCAACGGGGCCCTGAGTTTCCACCCATCACAGATGCCTGGGGGTGCCGTGTGCCGAGACTGTGTCCGGCTGATCTCCCGTCTGCATGGTGCTCTAGAGTCTAACTTGACCTTGGCTGAGATAAATGTCCAGGATCAGTGTGAGTCCCTGGGACCTGGTCTGGCTGCCCTCTGCAAGAACTACATCCGCCAGCAATTTTTCCCTGCTGAGAAAACACTGCAGGTTCTCCCCCCACAGGAGGTCTGCAGGAAGGGGGGCTTCTGTGAGGAACAGAGAGAGCCTGCCCACCGACTGGGTCAAGTGGCCGCTGTGGATGGAGTCCCCTCTCTGGAGCTGGGGTTGCCGAGGAAGAACGAGCTACAGATGCAGTTGGGCCTGACCTGTGATGTGTGCTTGAATGTGATCCAGGAGCTGGACAAGTGGCTCACGACCAACAGCACGGAAGCCCTCATCAGCCACACCCTGGAGCGAGTATGCTCCATAATGCCTGACTCTCTGGTCCAGCATTGCATCAACCTGGTGGACGCCTACAGCCCTAACTTAGTGGAGCTCGTGACCAGAATCACCCCAGAGAAAGTCTGTGAGACCATCAGGCTGTGTGGTAGCAAAAGGCAGGCCAGGTCCATCTCCAGGGCTAAGACAACCACGCCACCCCTGCTGGTGGATGAGGAAAACCAGGGAACCTTCTGCCACGGGTGCAAAAGGCTACTGGATGTGTCTTCCCAGAATCTGGACCGCAAGAGCACCAAACGAGACATCCTGAATGCCTTCAAAGGTGGCTGCCGGATCCTGCCATTGCCGTACGTGCTACAGTGCAACCGATTCGTAGCGGAGTATGAACCTGTGCTCATAGAGAGCCTCAGGTTCATGATGGACCCCACAGACCTGTGCAAGAAGATGGGGGCCTGCCACGACCCCAAGGTTCCACTTCTAGGCACGGATCAGTGTGTCATGGGCCCCAGCTTCTGGTGTAAGAGCCCGGAGGCTGCTGAGATGTGTGATGCTCTGGAGCACTGCCAGCGCCTTGTGTGGAAAAAGCCAGCTTCCCAAAACAGCGAGCAGCCATGACTGTGGCCACCAGAACCCCAAGCCTGCCAGGGTTAATCCCACCTGCAGCCTTTTGCCTCCCAAGGGGACCCTATGAGGTGGGTACTATCTCATCCCCATGTCATAGATGAAAAAACTGAGGCTCTGAGCAGGGAATTAGGAGCAGAGCTAACATTCAAAGCCATGCTCTCCTGATGCTGGACAGCTTTATCTTTCTGTCTCTGCCCTCACTGCTGTCTCTAACAAACGGAAGGTCCCCTCTACCCCTGCCACAAACAGGAAGTCTTCTCACCCCTGCCCCAATAAGCTACCCTCTCTTGCCATGCTGTGATGCTGATGGCCTGGAGAAACCTGTCAGTGCCCTCCTGTGCAGGGTGAGCACCCAGCTCTGAGCCAAAGCAGTGGCAGGCAGGTCAGATAGGTAAGGGTAGGGTCGAGGGACTGTCACTAGTGAGGCCAATGGCCCTTGTCAATAGCTAGGGGTGGAAGTTGGGTATTCTCAGGCTGGGATCTTTCAGGCTTGGCTTCCAGTAGTACAGCTGGGACAGGAGTGGTTCTGGACTTCTCTGGGGGAGGGTCCTGGGTCATTGGCCACTACCCACAAGGGACATTTGGACTTTATAGGATTCACCTAGGGGAAATCTGTCTTTTCACCCAGACTCCAGCCACCCTGGTGCTAAGCAGTGTGGGGTGTACTTAAAATCAGGAGAACAAACCCCATTAGGTGAGCCCTGGGGAAGGCTCTGGGATTGTAGAATGTCTGTAGCATGGGCAGCAAGCAAGCGCTCCACCCTAGTGAGCAGGCCCTTTATCTGCTGAGCCTCAGTTTTCCAATCTGTAGACTGGGAGGATCGTGCCTGCCTCATAGGGATGTTGAGACAATTCAAGTTCCTTCACTTAGAGACCAGCACCCATTGACCCACCAGGATCAGTAAAACCTACCTTGAGAATTGACAGGGTCTCTGGGGAGTCTGACCAAGTAAGTGTCACATAAACCAGAAGCTTTTTCCAAATGATGTTTGCTGTTCTTATTCTAACGGGAGAACATGGTCTCTGGGCCTGCAAAGCCCCCCCCCCCTCACAGCTTCCCATGGCTGTTTCTCTAGTGGGAAGCCTCCCTTGGGGTCATCTGCCTGTCTCAGGTGCACAGTACCTGCCTTTCATGTGTCGTCTTCGGTACCTCGTGAGCCCCTCATTGACGACCCCCCGGGTGTGATGTACAAGACCTGTCTGCAGTAGATGCTCCAACGTTTGTGACATGAGTTCCCGTGCTCGGTCTAGCCTGGGTGAAAAGGAGACTGCTTGGCCTGGCAGTTACCCACAGTAACACGAGTGGGTACTCTCCCCCGAGGGCCACGCCTGGGTTCTTAGGCAACTGTTTTGAGCTGGGCCATCATCCAAGGACATGGGTATAACTAGCCAGAATTTCCTGAATCCTGTGCGCTGGCATTGTCAGCTGGACAGGCTGGGCCCACCGGTCAGCCCTGAGCAAGATGAGGAAAGTGGGAGGTGCAAAATGCCAACTGTGGCCCATATACAGATGTGTCCTTGTGGATCAAGCTATAAGTTAGACCCCAAAGCACAGCTTGAGGTCACCAGAGTCACCACTCAAAACCCACTTGTCTCTGCAGGGTCCCTGAGCAGAGTGGAGGCCACTCCTCTGTCCTGTCAGGGAGCCAAAGGGACACTTGCTAACACTTGCATGTGACATGCCACGGCTTTCCTGACCTGACATTTCCATAGAGATGTACCAGCCCCATAAGCCTGGCCTACCAGAGGCCAGGAGATGGTGAGTTCCATGTCCTGTCTCTGAGCATGTTCCACTGCCTTCAACCCAGAGCTACCGTGGGGGACAGGCAGGGTGGAGCCTCTCCTTGGCCCTTCCTTTGATTCCCACACAACCCCCAGGCCTGGAGCCAGCTGCTTCCTCAGACCACTGATCAAATATGTCCCCACACACCCATGGTCCACAGGAGCCTGGCACAGAACACATCTGACAAGAACCCCACAGGACCACTGCCGACTGTGGCTGGCAGGGCACAGGCTTCCTATGCCCAGGCACAAGGACTCCACCTGACCCACACTCTTGAATCTTTACTCATCCTGCACCTTGTGGCTAATGACAGAGGTGATGACAAGAGGAGAGGTGGGCACTAAGGCTGACAGCAGAAACTTCCATGAGACTCACTTAGTGGCCAGGAATGGCAGCTCAGCAGAGGGACAGGGACCAACAGGACAGCCCTGTATGCTTCTGGCTTCAGAAGGGCAGCTGTTCTCACCATCCCCACAAGTGGGACAGCTCCTGCCTGGAAACTGAGAAACGGGACATGAAGCATGAAGGGACTGGAGGCGGGGACCACATGACCTGATTAAGATGGGAGCAGGGGCTCCGACAGATTGCCTGAGTGGACAGATGCCAGATACTTCCACCACATAGGCTATAACCACCCATCAAATGCCACCACCAGACAGAGACCTAGTCAGGTAGGAACTCTGTCAGGGTCCCTGGCTTCCAAATTCCTTGGATCAAGGCTTGAAAGATTTGGGGTTAAGGGTTTGGCAAATGGCTCATTTGCTAAAAACATCCTTCAAAATGGTAGGCCAGCAGCCAATATGGACCTGATGGAGATACGTTCCTCCATGCCACAACCCGAGAGGGATGTCCTAGCGAGAACACTGAACACTGCTGACCCCTTCCATGTCGTCTCTCCCTGCCCCAACACACAGTGGGGCTGGTACCTGTGAGAACTTCACATGCCTCTAATGCTGAAGGCTCCATAAAGCCAGCCTAAAGTCCTTTTTTTCTGTTATCAAATAATTAACACAAACTCTAGGCGATTCTGGGAAAGTTAGAGAGCAGTCCACAACAGACAAGAGAAGGTCCCACTGTTGTCCCCTTTCCTTGACTCCCTGCTTTACCTCCTTTTCTACAATGGCAGTGTTTACATTTTCCTGCCAGAAAGTGGCATCTACACACTTTAAAGACATGAGCCCAAGGATGCGCTCCTGACAGCGACCCTCAGGAAAGCTATTTGTGCTGGAAGGTCCCTTCCAGATCTGGGTGGGCGGGAGCCCTGAAGAGCAAGGGCCCAGAGTCATTGCAGGCTCTGATCTATCTGTTCAACCAGGTGTTAGCCAGCTCCCAGATTCCGCAGTACTCTGAGTGTAGGGAAGAAGAGCTGGCCCTCACCCCAAGAGTTCCTCAAGGACAGCATGGCTGAAGCAGCAGCTTTCTCTGCAGCCTGTGCTGAGTGGCAACCAAACAGCACAGTTCAGGGGTCAGGGTGGATAGTGAGATAGGCTGTCCACCCTGGAAACCACAGTGCACCTCATTTCTCTTGGGTCCCAGAGGAAGGACTGTCTCTCCAGAGGACTGGAACCATCATTTGGGGATTTCAGTTTCCTGTCTATAATTACAAAAAGTGGGAACAAGTGTGGGGGTGTCATACTATCCCCAAAATCCCCAAGTGTGAGCAGTGTCAAACTTGGTTCTCTCCTGTGCCACAACCCAGCCTGAGAGGGATGTCCTTGTGAGAACACTAAGCCACTGCTGATTCTTCCAGTGTCGCCACTAGACCTGGAACACAGGCCGAAGCTGTGAAAGTTTCACAGGCCTCTATGCTGAAGGCTCCGTAAGTCAACCTAGAGTTGTCTGCTGCTGGAGCAAGCATGTCTATAGGTTGAGCTGGGCCCCTCCACCAGCTGTGAAGAAAGGGGCATGACCTGGGCATCTCAATACCCACGTGCAGCTGGGAAGCCTTGCTGCTGCCTAGGAGGTACTCTACCAAACTGGGAGGGGCAAGACACACTCGGGCTTCTCACCTGGGAAGGTGACACACAAACTTGAGCCATTTATTTAGGACATCAGGAACAGTTTCAGAGGCCAAGGGAAAGTCACACCACTTCTAAACCAGTTTCTCGGGGTGGCAATCCCTAGGCCACAAGGGAAGAAAGCCCCAAGAAGAGCAGAAAGAGAGAGTGACCTTTTGGTAGGCAGGATTCTTTGGGACCTAGAGCCAGTGATCCCATCTCCAGAGGAAAGCTGCTTGGAACACTGTCCAAGACCACCAAGGCTGCTGTCATTTTACAGTGATCTAGGGCCCGGGGCTTGGAGGACTCAGCAAGCCAGAAAATCTGTTGGTTGCTAAGTTGGCCAAATGTGATGCTGGTATCTAAAGGAATGAAGCAAGCCCAGAGATGGGCCCATGCACCCAGGGAAGGGCCATACAGCCCTGGAATCTAGAAGCCACACCTGAACAAGAACTTCTGGGTTCCCCGGTTCGCTGAGCTGGGCTCATGGGTGGCAGAAAGTTCTTAAAGATTAGAGATCTAGCCTGCCTCCACACCAGATGGCATGTCAGATGCCATGTCACATTCCCAGAATCATGGCCTTGATTCCCTCAAACCCAGATTACACTACTGGTCTTCACAGATTAGGGTGACCCTCCACAGGTAACTGATGGGTGCATCCACAGTGACAGCATGGCAGGAGGGCTCTCAGGATCTTGAAGGCAGACCGCTTCTCCTGGTACCTGTGCATGACACAGCTACGTCCCCTGCCCTGCTGACCTCTGCTGAGACTGTCCTGGGAAAAGCCACGCCATTACAGGGGTTCTGTGTGAGCTGCTACAGGTACCCAGGCTGAGAGTTGCGTGCCAGCAGAGACGGCCACTCCTGTCACCAGGATTGGTGTGTAATCAACACAATGGGAGACTTTAAGCAAGCCACCAGATCTTTCCTCGTGGCCCCTTCCTCCCCCAGCACAGAGAACTACGTATATCCAGGTTCCATAGCTCTGAGATCAGGATTCGCATCCAGGAAGGGCAGACAAAGGTATGAAGGCAACAGACTTCAGAGGACATGTCTGGAGACAGTGGACTCTCAGGCCCAGATGAACAAGGCAGAGACAGAACCCCATAAGCCTTCCTATCCAGAGACACCCCACTCTCAGGCTTTCTCCATGTGGTGGGGACCAGAGTCTTAGACTAATAGAATGTTCCAAAACCAGGCACCCAGAAACAGCACCTCCATGTCCATTACCACTCACACAAGGCTAAGGAACAGATGAGGGTCAGGGAGGGTCACAATCCAGGAGGCCAGAGCTTTGGGTAAAAGATGGAAATGTTCCATTTTCTCTGTGGTGCCAGCTAGGCCCTTCCAGGGCACTGCCCACAGGCCCATATGAAGTTCCTATGAAATTTTAGGACTCCAGAGCCTTCAACAGCAGAGAGCCACTGCACTCACAAAGCTGTGGAGAGAGGATGAAGGCAAAGCCTCTAACCCATTCTGTATCCAGGAACATGCTTTAACAGCTTGAAGCTGGCCATGGAAGGGGAATTCAGTGTTGACACTGGCCAAGACAACACACTTGTGGTTGGAGGATTGGAATCCTACTTTTCCAGGCCTGCTCTCTCTCATACACTCAGAAACACCCTACTGCTCCCAAGGCCTTGAGATATGAGAAACCACCGAAAGCAACCACACCCTGAGGGAACCATGGGATTGCCAAGGCTTTCTGAATATTGTTCCAAGCCAGGTGCTGAGTAGGTATGAAGACTGAGCCATCCAAACAGAATAGCCCATATCAGCATCTCCTCTTGAACATGAAGGAAGTGTTCCATTGCTCTGCTCTCTGCCAGTTGGGGAGCTGGAGGGGGGTTTTCTATGCTCGGAAAGACTGGCAAGGTCCCACATGCTACACTGGGCCAGCAACCCTGAAAGCACAGGAAGTGGAAATGAAAGTAATGGGGGTTTGGGGGTGGGGGCACGTGACTGTCACTCATAAGGTCGTTGCTCACTCAAGACTACACTTCATATGCAAGGCAGATGAGCCATATACAAAGAAAAAAATGCCAACAATGACATTAGAAAAGGAAAATGACATTAAAATAATGTCAAAATAATATGAAAATCTTACGCATTGTGTGCAAGTCCCAGGAGACTGAAAAACTCTGTGTAGAGAAAACAACACTGGAGACAGCATCTCACGAGAGAG